TCTGAATGATTGTGTTAGGAAACCCTTTGAGGTTATACAAGTCCAAGCAGTCCGGTAAARCAATCACCGATCATAGGTAGGTACTATTGCAGCAATGTCTATACTTAAAATACCTACTTGTGATGAGTGAGTAACCACGATATTCTCTGCTAATTGAAAAGTCATCGAGTAGTATTTACTCGATTTATACATTCGAGTAGGCGAGATAAAATAAATAGGTTTAAACACGCGTAAGTCTGATCCGCAATATTATACGATGCCTARCTATATAATACGGCTATACCTATGTATATTATTATATAGGTAACTTGCACGTTACGCGTATCGTTTTACCACTTCAGCGTTTAACGTAATACGCAAACGGAATGGTTGAGGTTCGCTCTGTATACATATATCATTATATAAGATTACGCAGCTAGAGGTTGCAAGTATGCTCGTTTACAACCCCCCCCCCGCTCCTGGACCTAGAATAGTGGTATGTATGTACATTGTACACAGACGGCAGCAGATAGTACCTATATTATGTGCTATGGGTATGCGATGTGTGTGAGGATTAAACAGGAAAATATATTCCCGTTTCCGGTTTAATGTKCGCCGGTGTCTGTACCGTGTAAGGGTCGAACGCTCAAATGTATGTGTGTGCGCGTGCGCGCGCCATAGGGTGCTCTGGCTATTTGTAACTTTACATGTGGTAACGGTTAAGCGCCATAACTCACCTGCGTGTCCGGTTATCGCCTGGTTCCGGTAAAAACTTTAAAAGTGTTGGTTTCGCGCGTTGAAAAATAGCGGTCATCGCACGCGCCACCCAAGAAATCGATGACTCAGCTAGCGACCGACAGTGTATATTATATAGGTACCTATTATACACCACGGAAAACATTCATTCAGGCTGTACATTATTGAATAGCCGAGAAATGTAAGCATTAGATATAATATAATATTGCAAAGTAAAATGATGTAACGAATTAAATGTACCTTTTAAAATGAATATAACGTAATAATATTTCCATTATATAATACAGTAAAGATTCAGAACGCATGCGTAGAGGCATAACAGCTTATAGATAAAACAATGTAATTTGATCGGAGGAATCGGAAATATCTAAACAATGCAGAAAAGTAAACAAAAAAATGTATGATTTAGCGGTAGGTTTAATAATATATAGAAAAATCGCTTTTCGAAAACCATAAATATCTATCTACGAAATTCTCAAGTTGTTTGCACGATTTCTTCGAGATATTAGTAGTCGTCGCTTTAGCTCACACCTCCTCACCTGTAAGAACGCCAAAGTACCCAGTAATGTGTGTATATATATATATATATATATATATATACCAGATACCTAACCTAACCTATACACATTATATGATTTATGGTCTACCCCGAACGCGTGGAAGCATTTTTCGCACACTCACATTATAACAAAAATACCTACACACGGCGCCCGTATACTATTATTATACGCAACGATCCGTATACATCACAACCACCGATGTGATGGAAAGGTATTCGTGATGCTGTTTTGTGAATCTCTAAAACATTCTTCTTGAAAGTCGTTTATGATGCGATGAGAGAAATCTTCGTGTATATAGATGATACCTATTACCCATAAAAGCCGTCGGGCCCTTGGTTGGCATTCGCGTTGATTTATTATAATATCTACATACCGATATTATAATATATGAATATATTATTATTTTTTCTGAAATACGGTGGGCAACGATGTGTCAGAAAATAATAGTATGATCATGGTGATAATAATAATATAAAACGATACTAGAACGACGATCATCGAGTATAATATGTATAATTATATGCGGATTTTATAAAATAATGCGAGTGTGTACAGAATAGCATGAACCGTTTGCATTCAAGAATGATAATAATTAATAATAATAATATAAAGGTTAGGTRTAATTTTTCAAATTTTTAACAATGTACGATCTATGATTACTAGATAGTATTGCAGTTATCGACGCAAAGATTAGCGAATTACCACTGAGTTTTTCATAATTAAACCGTGCGTATAATTGTCYAAATGATTGTAAATTGACTCTGGAATACGAATCCATAAATAATATCACGTGGAAACATTTAATAAATGATCAGTCAAATTATGGTTACATTAGTGTACTTCTACTTGAAAAATAGGAAAAAAATCTACTTCCGATATAGTATCAAAATATTATAGAACTAAAACCTACAATAAACATATTATAATTTTATATTATAGCTACAGCTGTATAACCTGTTATTGTAGTCTGTAGACCATTTTACCAGTCCATAGAACATTTTATATCATACTTTATTCTACAATTRTAAATTMTATTGTGCTATTATAATACTGACTACCTGAGTTCTATCCACCTATATTTTATACTTTATTCACCAAGTAATAGATTGAAATAAAACTGCAGCACAGTATTATACACAAGACTWAATTCATAATTATTWTTAAAGATGCCAAAATGCTCACGAATGTCTACGATTTTAGCAATTAGATTAATTTAACGTTTACTCCGACAAATAAAATAAAATTAAACATTAATTTAATGGAAGTTTAGAATTAACATTCAAATATAAACAATTTCCATTTAAAACGCACATTTTCAAAACACTTAAAATAGCAGTTATTTACATAATAGAATTATGTTCCCTTAATATGTAAAATACATATCTAGMTTTAATGAATTAATTTAACATGCGAAAACTCTTATAATAGTTCTAAAAAATAATTGTAACAATAATATTGTGCACCAATTCTCATTTCTGTACATTTTGATTATTTTTATAATAGCAGCTATATTATTATAATATGGTGCATTTTATTAAAGGCATAAATAGCATATTACAACGTATTATATACATAAGTCATTAAATAAAATGACATTTCTGGACATACCAACTGCAAATATCACGAAAAAAATCTATATAGAATGTATTTCAATGTGGTACTTATAAGTATTATCGGGTAGTTCTCAAAACAAAAACGAAAACAGACTCGTTATCACAAAGATAGATTACTCTAAACCTAGGTATTCAACAATATATTTTATACTCTAACCAGTCCCAGCAATAATCATAGTTTTATACTGACAGAAAATAACGATATAAAAATTGTGGCGCCCTCTAGGTTAGTAGTAAAAAATATAGACATTTGATAATATTACAATATATAGTATAGTTCAGTATAAGTGTACAACATTACACTATTATAGGAGATAGGACGATAGTATGAATAATAAAATTTGATTATTTATTTAAGAATGTATAAACTTTACGTCATAAGTCATAACAGATGCAACGATAAAATTTTAGTAGGTATAGAATTTAAAAACGGATTAATTAATTTGATTTTAAGTTTTAACAGACCATCGAAACGTAACTAAAACATTAAATTATCAATAATTTTAAATAGCGAAAAATCTGAAATATGATTTACTGTAATTTAATGATATATTAATTTAGCGCCACGGCTACACTATTATACTGAGTAAAAACTGAAAATGTATTCAGCAGTTAAATCCTACAACAAATAATAGATAGTATGATGAGGACGTTTATTCAGGAGGGTGTTGCTATGCTACCTAATGTATTCTTTTATATACAACGAGCACACGATAGACAGTAAACGTTACGATGATTAGGTCGAATTTTTCGATGACAAGGAGCAGGAGACAAACACAAATTATTTTTGCACATTTTAACATACGAACGAAATTGATAAAACAATAAAAAGTATTAAATATACCTATACCATTCGTAATAGGTATGTAGCACGCTAATTGTAGCGACGCTACAGTATAATAGTACGATACTTTATTTGTAGCGATTGACGTATAGCGTCGCCTTATAATATAGCGAAATACTATAGCGTGCTAAAAATGTACGGTTAGCGTAGCGAAAATTTTCATTATTTGATCGGTACCTATAATATTTTTGACGACTATCAAAATATCTATTACGATTAAATTTGTTTATTTATATTATAATAATGATGATTGAAGTTTTTCCCTTCCATATGCTATATCGTCTATTGATATAATGATATATATGTTAAAATGTAAAATGTATTTATGTAAAAAATAGTACTAAGTATTTAAACTTATGCTCTAAGTTTAGCCAAGAAATTGCTCGCTCCGTAAATATGTTCTATGGATCCACGCCTGCCTCACGTAGTTAAATCCCATCCAAACGTCCAGTGAATAAATGTCAGATCAGTATAAAATACAACCACTAGGTAGTTTTTGATAATACAATTTTTTACAAATTTAGCGAAAAAGTAGCGCGCTACGTTTAGACAATAGCGTTAGAAGTAGTGCACTACATTTAAAATTAAAGTAACGATAGCTGAAGCGAGCTTTTTTTTTAGTGTGAAGTAGCCATAACGTTAACGTGCTAAAAAAATCTGTAGCGTCCCGACCACTGGGTATGTGTTTTGAGTTTTTATTATTTTTTTGTGATATAATAAAATACAAATTATAAAATATATATTATAAACTTTTCAGGGGAGCAGTTGAATCCGGTTTTGTTTGCCCATTTTTTTATGTTGTTGGTTGTGATTTGAAAAAGACGGTTTCTGGGTTATAACTAATATAATAGTAAATAGACAATAGWTATAAACGCGTGTCAAACGGACCTCTAAAAGAACACAATTGATAGGTATCCCGTATCTAACATTCGTTGACCATTGCAGAATAAAAATTAAGTATAGGTACTATTCGATTTTCGGAGCTTTGAGGTTAACGAAATATCAAAAATGACCGCCAAGCATTATTATTATTACATGTAAATATTATTCGTCGATACCTACTTGTTTGGTCTAATATTGTATAGTCATATTGTAGCGTTTGCTTCAATAAAGATTATAAATGGCCATATTAAAATCGGTGGACTTGTGACTAATAAAATAATGCAGCATAATTCAATTTCACACGACAATATTGATTTAATTTTGTCTATTTTAAATATAAAATCAATAAATATCGATAAATGTGKAGTCCCTGTGGCGCAGTGGAAAGCGTACTGGACTTCGGATCCAGGGGTCGTGGGTTCGACCCCCACCAGGGACACTGATTGGAAATTTTTTCCGATTTTTATCGATATTATACTGTTTATGAATATGACAAACGAGGTTCAACTTGGTCGTTATACGCCCCGCCCGCGCCACTCCCGCACTCACCCACCAGTCCATGACGGACGACGCCGTGGGGACAACAATAATATTCTAGCTAAAATTAGACCTCTGCTGGTTATTGTTATCGGCACCGCTCATATTATTGTTATCGGATTGATCGTGTCGTTAGCATATTATTATTATTATCATTCACTGTTAAACGTCACAACACTCAAACCTAAAATTGATTGTTATAATAATTTTATAAATAATAAATAYGAAAATAGTTCAGGAGTACAGTAAGTTGGATGATTACCAACAAAATTATTTAAACGTTTGAAATTCAACTGATACAATAATTTTTTTATATCGTAGATCATAGACCATAGTAGATGAAAAACAGTATTGAAATATTTTGATTGCAATTCGTTTTTTTAGTATAATTTAACTAGTGTAATTATTGGTTGATCCACGCGACGAACTTAACCAATGTAAATTGGAAACCCGCATGCGTACAGGTAATTACTAATTGTACAACGGGTTGAATTTTTCAAAATCGATTATAATATAATACATATTAAGCATAATACATAACGATAAGGGTGATGAATATTATCGTCGCGAGAAAAACTGAGTTGTTTTTCGAATAATCTCGATAACACCTAGTTTCATAGTAGTATTTGCATGATAATAAAAATGTACGATTTGGATGCGAAAAAAATTGAACCTCCCACTGTGACGACTGAGTCGTGTTGAGTGAAAACAAAATATTATTTTGTTAAAAATAAGTTTTATTTTTAACCATTCACGAAAATAATGTTTATCTCATCAATTTTGTTCACCACTCTTGTAAACCGATGCGACAGAAATATTACGAGCACGTCGTAGCACATCTGTAATATTTTAACACTTCTCCTAACACCTCAACAATGTCCATTATCCAATATCCAGTAAGTTTATATTATATTTAATATTTGTAACCGGTAAGAATAACGTAATCACTTGCATTCACTAACGCATTTATCGGAAACCATTTCACTATTTTAGCAAAATTATCATAAAATATTCAAATGCTAAAAGGTGATAAATCCATAGGGGAGCAAAATAATAGACACTAATATTATGTTAACTTAATTAGTATAATAGTACATAAGTATATAATATTACAATCATATGTGATGATAAAACATACCTATATATTACGATAGTTATTATACAACGTATATTATAGTGTATACATTGCGATTTTAATAAGGACGTTCAAATTAAAGATAATATAATATTTAAATTATGTTTGATGTTCAGTGAAGGGGAGGGGTGGTAGAAGGAGCCTCTGCAGTGACGAAAGCAAGATTATAATACCGTCAGCGTCTCCCGTAAATCATTCACCGGTACTACACACTATACACAGTATCAAAGTTTTTTGTTCATCAAACCTTCCCGTGGTGACGACAATCGCGATTTCACGGATGTCACGTATTTGTTACTCAGAATAATATGTAAATATTTTTACAATGCTAAAATACATTATAGTATAAAATATGATACGTATGCATATATATTATTATAATAACGTTTTATACGATTTTACGAGTGAACGAAAGCAACGTTTGATTTTAAATTAATTATACACCGAGCTAACTGCAAGTTTTACTCCGAATAGTCTTTAACTTTTTTTATTGAGTTTAAATTAATTTATCATAGTCAATACCTAGAGTCGGATCACGAAATTTTCTTAAGCAAAACATTGAATTAATATAGAAATCAAATTTGCATGTCGATTTGTCCAGTATAAAGAGTATAAAGATATCAGATTTCGATTTAACGTTCCAAAACTTAAAGTTTATTTTTCTTAAGCTGCAGATAACAATATCAAAAAGACGAATATATATGTGCAGTGATGTAAGACGCTCGAATTCGCCAGAGAGAAACAACCCGTTTTAATAGGATATGCCCGCAAATTACATGCAATAAGTACAACAATATAATGTTAGATATAATAATAATATGTATATTATGATAAATTCTATTATTCTTATTAAACAATAATGTAATGCGATATTATCATGACGTGAGTATACGAGGATTGTAAAATTACGATCGTTTATACGCTAAAAACACCCTCGTACTTTGGCTTACAAATTTCCCGAGTGAAAAATATACGTCCTGTGTTCGCAGCAGCAGTGATCTACATAGTTCAAATGCGCAAAATATATTATTATATATTATTCAACATAATCGTCGAATTATACACAAAACTTCAGCAGGCGGTATTTTCCGGAACGGGTGTGCTGGACGAGCCGCGGGTATATAATATAATATTATATATATATAAGTAGATGCTGTATGAACTTTTTGACGCCCGCCGCTCCGATTTCCGGACGTGACAAATGAAACTCTATAATAATATAAACCTTTCCGAGTGTGCTTTCCGTATATAGACTCGCATAGTCCCCGAAGTCGAGACCCGTCCGCCTCCACGGTGATTTCGCTGCACAACCCCTCTCCCTCACCGTCCACCACACAGCAGACTACTGCAGTGGCCTCACGATTGACGGTCGAGAAAAGCAATCCGTCCGACAGATATAATTATTTAGTCCTCAGGWACGCGAGCTCAATGCTATATACACATAGACACGGGCGCATGCATATTATATTATATACACATTATACGTGTATATAACTATATAATAATATATACGACGACGACCAGCGAGCGAAAACTTTTCAATTAACTGATGCTCAACGTGTAGGTAGGTACTGCGGAAAACCCACCCACGCCCCGCACCCGTTTGCCAATGCTGCAGACGCAGCCGACCGTCATAATATAATAATAATAATGATTATACAATGCACATCACATTGTGAAGTCTACAACTGCAGTCGTAGTAGGTATCTACAATAATAACTAAAGCTGTACTGCAGGTGCACTGTATGTCTCTTATAAATTATATATTCTTATATTCTTATTCTTATTCTTATTATATATTGTATAATACGGTAAAACTGCTGTTGCTAATGCTGCAGAGCATAATATTTCTACCGTTTACATAATATTGTGTGTCACCCACTCCTGCAGCTGAACGACCCAACATATAAATATTTATATATGCATACATTGTAATACATCGTGAGGCATGCAGTAGGTTAATATATAGGAATGCAATCTGCAGAGACCGATTTATATGCCACAGTTATTAATTAATTGTCTCGGCACGATAACGTTTAATGTTTAAACCATAGACTTATACCACCTTAAAAAAAAATTATTAATTTATTAATATACACAATGTAATATGGTATAATAAGTACATTACACAGTATTTTAACTGATTAAATTAAATCAAAACTATGCAAAAAATAAGATATTTTTGTTTAAAGTTTATYTAAAACGGATACCATTGGGACCAAAAAAAATATTCCGTTTTCACAGGTTTCCGTTTAATTTTTTGAAATATAATTCATTAAATCACATAAAATTTAATATTAAACTATTCTCTTGAAATTCCATGCACATATTATTATTGTGTGATAAATAATATTATTTATAAGAAATAAAAATCTATTCATAAAAAAGTAAAAACATAATATTTAACATGTCGAAAAAAATATAATATATATGCCGTGAGMTGTATAAAAAGTGTGCGAACTAAGCAACTATAATTAGGTAGTAAATTGCACATAGCTACTWAGATTTTTTTGAATTATATATTTATATACATATATAGTAAAAAGTGAGTTTATACGGTCACTTATCTCAGCGATGCGAATTATTACYGGATGTAATGACATGACTTGGATAAAGGAATCACSRTTTGAAACCATTTGACCCTTCAAAATTGTTACTGTAGACTGTCTTAAGAGTAAAATCGAATAAAATAACGAGTGTATATGCTTATGCTTTGCTAATAGTTGATTTTGATATTTGTGTAAAATGTAATATTTTGTGTTGCCGATTGTTAAAAAAAATTACGTCTCCAATGATACGGTCGGAAAAAAGCGCATCAATCATAATATAAATTGCGTTATTGTTACRATCGCTGTGACCCGAAGTGAGAGAAATTTCTGGGAATACACGTTTCGAATGTCGACCGTTTTGGAAAATGAACCAAGAGTGACTGCATCGAAAAACATAGGAGGTTTTTTTTTCAAAAATGTATTAGGTACAATGGACCATAGATATATTATGTACATATAATATATCTATGTATAGTAGATTTTATATATATATATATATTTATTTACTATAGATGGAATAAGAATATAGTATATAATAGTACAAACAACTAGAGAAAACGCGGGAAAAGTCATTTAAAATAATTTTTCTCCGTCCGTAATTTCCCCAGTGCATAGAAATTACCGTCCGGGATTTTTGATCCCCTTCCACTGWATGATATAGCTATACTTTTGTACTGCACGTACATATACACCTATCTTTCTTGCCACTCTCATTCAGCTGACGCCACATAATAATCGATTTATAACAGTTTCTCGTTTGGGCTTATGCATTTCTACCTATCTCTCTCTCTCTCTCTATGTGTGTGTAGTATATATTATGTACATGTAGTACACACCTATAGAGTAGGTACATATATATAAATATTCTCTCCCTGCTCCTCTCGCCTCTAGTCCCACCCACACCGCCGTCTGCCAATCCCCCGGCCACCGCTCCAGCGATTCAGCCGACCTATTTTACGACCCCCGACCGGCACGGCAATTCCTCCGAGGGCCACCGCCGCTGCCGAGGATTATCTTCCTCTCGGCCGAGACGGTGGCGTGTCCAAAAACCCGAGCGGCAATAAAAAACGGTTAGTGCGGGACACGACCRAGAAAACCGTTCTATAATGCGTTCCAGGTGCTCGAATACACCAGCGCACAAACACGTATTCTGCAAATATATATGTAAGTATTTCATACAGCTGTGATGTAAGTGTAGGTAAGTAGGTATATACCGCATGCGCATACGCGGATAGGTAGAATATATATGGACGTAGCAGCGGGCTTAGGAATTTTCAACGGCGAGGTTCAGGATATTTAGTTTCTATAGATCCGATAAAATAGGAGTTATGTTTGAATAAAAAAAAAGGAAAATGTAGATCATTACGAAACTCTAAATTATTTTCAGTACGAATAACAATAGATAATATATTATGAAAGTATTATTTAYTATTAATAAATTATTGTATGATATTTGTGATTTGTCTGATTTAAAAGACTAATCTTAAAATTCCCGTGGCTTAAATAACTTAAGCGCGGGGTCCACTCTGCAGGCATGACAAAATATCATACAAATATAAACTATATAGGTATGACAATAATAATAATTTAGTAAAACTACAGTCGTACTGGGAGTGGGAGGGGGCGTATCGATTTAGATTTTCGTTTTTTTTATTATCATTATAATATTTTGTCGCCCACCTAAAACTATATCATTGTGATACATTATAGTCACCGGCATGTGCGGTGGATTTCGTTTTTTTTTCCACTAAAACGTTTCACGACGGCGGTGGTGGTATATTGTAATATCATAATATAATAACGCGCTGTATAATAATATTGCAGGTATATACCGTGCATGTTTTTTGCGCCCCGAAAATACGAAATGTATGTTATTATAACTCGCGTTAGGATTTTCATAATATATCGCAGTTATTAATTTTATAYAATATAATATTATGATTATCTCTATCGTTGGGATTTGGCGGCGTTGTCGTCGTCATTCGGGTTGCAGGTGGGTTTACCCGACCATATATTATCATTATTACTTTACATATGATACGCACCTACCTATTATACCTACGCATGCATTAGATTATTCGTAGGTACATACATACGTATAATATATTATAACTTTGAGAAAAAGCTCTCCGACCTTTTTTGCAGGAGACCACTATACCGCGAATCAGATAATGGTGCTTCTATACTGCTGTAGTCCTTCCCTTTCCGCCCAGCATAACACATTTATGACGGGTTTTTCGTTTAATTTACGACCGAGGTAACYGCTTTTTATTTTGTTAAATTTTTATGTTCTATTTCAATAGCTACCAAGTTATAATATGAATGCGTAGTAAATTATCATCGAAATGTCTGTAAATATTATTTAAAACATATTGTACAATGACGTAAGTACATAATATCGGTATTGTTAAAGTTATAGTTTACCTACAAATAGAATACTTCAAAAAATCGATCTAAGAACTATAATTGACGCTTAACAAATTATTAAAATCGAAACTATGCACAATATCGTAATGATTTTCGCCTATCGTACATTAATCTTAGAAAGAAGGACGCAGGTAATGAGCAGAATGTAATAATAATGGCGAGCAGGGAATCTTTATCTCCAACTATCATTTAATAGTAAGTTTAGATACAAATATGAATACTATTTATATGTCAATGTATTTAATTTAATCAGTTAGGTTGGATACATTTATTTTCTAAGCTCACAATTATTATTATATTTTTTTTTCTATATATTAATCAAATAAACAAACGGAAAAACTTACCGGTCCAAATTGCTCAAAGTAGTTTTTGACGTCTTCCAACGTTGTTGGCGCCGACAATCCACCAACAAAGATTTTTTTCGTTCGAGTCACCATCTGAAAATTATTACGTAATATTTAATGTGATTTTTTACATTTCATGAACAAAGTTAAAGTTAAATTGTGAATAACGATATTTTTTTACGAAATGTTTATCCTTTATTTAATTTAAAAACTTCTGATATCCTTTCACAAAAATGTATTAAAATATTCGTTTAAATGTATTAAACAARTGTACAATCATATTATGTGGTCACTTAAAAAATAATTATAAATGTTTTGTAATATAAATCATATAGTTGTATTATTTTGAAATAATATATTTAGTGTAAGTGGAATTAAAATATAGTTTATAATTGGTAGTGGTTAGATTTGTCATGATAGAAGTGTTAAGATTGGTGGTAAATTCACTAAGAATATAATAATAAATACACTTAAGAGTATTTATCTAATTCTAAACTTAAACAGAATTCCGTATAAGTCGTAACGAATCTAAATCCGAACACTGAACCCACAATATAATATAATATACACAACGTTATGCACACGAGACAACTTATAAGCGGCCTAAGGGTATGGTTTGTTATTAATACTTGGTTACTTCAAAATAACCATCTATTAGTATTTCTGTGAAAAATGAAATAATAATGTATTTTACACTAACTTATTTACGAATTGTTAAATCCTTTTTTTTTATTGTAATTAGATACATACAACTCATCAGTACCTGCCTGTGAATAATACCATTATTATAACGTTGAGAATGTTGAGATTTGTCAAATATAAAATAATTATAGTATATTTTGATTTATYATAATTCTATTACAGAAAATATTGTATATTATATATTATATTGATTTATTAAAAAAATAAAATATATCTATAAYAATAATTCGTTATTCGTGTAGATAATATGATTATGTTTGTACAATTAGTTTAGGCTATCCTAAACAGGCATGTAAAAAGTTTTAAACGTATACGTATTATAATGTAAACCATTATAAAAAAAATCTACTTATAACACGATTATGCACGCACGTTTACGCACGCACGCCCAGATAATAATATATATTTTATCAAGTAATATTTTATTTCCAAAACGTTAAACAAATATGTTCCGTAATTGCCACCGTAAAGGGTACGTGTACAGTTTTGACAGCATTGAAAATCACKCCAACACCAATCAGCCATGTGTTTATCTCTATGCAGAGTKGGTTTTAACGGAGCCGATCGTTTATATTTCAAAAATGTAATCCAAACCGATCCCCTCGACCAAGTAGGTATATATTATATATAATAATAATATTAACGGTGTTGTGGAAAAAAAAACGACGAGATTTCGGCTAAACTTTATTATAATATAATATTCATTAGCTCTCGAGGGTTTTTAAATCATTTCTCGGAAATACGATTCCGTTTAAATATTTTATCSAGCCACCCGAGAGAGGGACGCAGTCATAAATAAAYCTACGCCATCTACGGCATTTAAAGCGCGCGTCCGTCAGTATTTCAAAACGACTGCACTCTCTATAACTATAGAGCGTATACATTTATACTTATTGTTATCGTTATGAATGCGTGTTGTACAGTATATTATGTAAGTTACAAACCTAATAATAAAATAACATGGTTTATACAAAACGATGTTTGAATTTCAAATAAAATATGATTTTTGTAAACGCGTAGCATATAATACAACCTAAAATTATTATTATTTTGTGAACTTCTTACCAATAATTGCAATATGTAATACAAAATAAATATATGTATTACTACAATTATACGATGCATTACATAATAATTACGACACGATAATATATAAAATTAATAACTAAAAGTTATCCACTCATGTTATATTAATATAATATTTATGAAATCAAAAATTAAAAAAAAAAAAAATTGAAAATACCGATACCAATTATACAGTTATATAAAATTATACAGATATTATATTTTTATTATTGTAATAGTAATACCTACATTAGATCGGTGTAAATTGTAGGTACCATATTATATTATTGTCGTTATTATAATATAAGCGGATACAATATTTTGTTCGAATACGGCATGAGGCATGACAATAATAATTATAATTAATCAGCACGCATGTAATTTAATAGAATATATATATATACTACAGAGAGGAATCTTGTATTATAATGGTCCCGTGATTACGCGTGCCGACCACAATATCGCTTGGTGGTGGGTGATTCAGTAACGTTGTTTTGGGATAGTTTG